AAAGGAATTTTCAACTCAAGTCTACCCTCCGCCGCTGTCTTCAGTTTGCAAAAACTTTAAACATTCATATCCCATCGAAATTTTATACAACCAACACTCAACCTGAATRGCTGATTAGTGATGTTTCAATAGATACATCTCTACATAATTTCAAAAAATCCACCACCAGTACCACAGTTTTTCAACAAAACTTCTTAGAAGTAACCAACTTCTATAAGAATAAAAAATTTAAAGAAATTTTCACAGACGCCTCCAAATTAACTAATACTGCCTATGCTGTTACCACAGCWAACGGGACAACTATTACTGGCGGAATCCTTCCATCATATTCGTCCGTATTTACCGCCGAGGCAATTGSAATATATATGGCATTAAAATATGCTATCTTACAAAAAGGCAAATTCCTTATTTGCTCAGACAGCTTCTCCTCCTTGAACGCCATACGCAACATACRAAATAATTCCATAGTAATATCTAAAATTAGAGGTATTTGCATTAAATATAAAAGAAAAATAGCTCCTCTCTGGGTGCCAGGTCACGTTGGCATTCCTGGGAACGAATATGCTGACCACGCGGCAAGATTCTTCGAATCTGCCCCCACGTTTCTTAACGAGGTGCAAGACCAAAATGACCTCAGTAAAATGTTAAGCAAACAYATATATGAAAAGAAAGTTGCGGACTTCAAGAAATTTAAACACAAATACGCAATCGTAAACAAACTACGCGAAAAGGTACACTACCCCAACARCATCTCAAGACAGCAAGCAACAATTTTCACTCGTTTAAAGATCGGATACACGCAAATCACTCACCAACATCTTCTTGGCGGCGATCCGRCACCATCCTGCCCATTCTGCCCCAGCACATTATCCATGGAACATATATTCAATATCTGTCCAGYACTAGAGAGTATTAGGCAAAAACACTTTAATTCTAGTAAATATCAAACATTGTTAAATACACCATATTTCGCAAACATTGTTAATATATGTAATTTTCTAAAAGAATGTAATTTTTATAATAAAATATAAATTTTTAAATTTTATACTATTATATCGGAGGCGATGGCCATAGTAGGTTGTACTCCTTTCTTACTATTAGGTTTAATATTTTGTATATTTTTCCTAATAAAATAATAATAATAATAATATTCTGTAGCAATATGTTGCAAAAGTATAAATATATGATTTGTGTAAGCCTATTCGTGTTATGCTCATTTATGTAGTTGTATGTATGTATGTATATTTTCTTGCGATTAAGTCCTAATTTATTTTACAGTACTTCTTCTTGAAGGCTATCGATGTAAATGCACCAGTATGCTATCGTATAGAATTTCAAGATGATTGTGTGTTTGTATAGTGCGAGAAATAATTGCCTGGTTGGGCACAATATTATTTTCAGATTAAAACTTAATGAACATCGATTCTGAGCGAGTAATMTTACACGTGTTATTTATTGATCGAGACTTAAAGAATCGGCAAATTTTTGCTTTTTGAGTAAGTATTTATTATAATAGCTCTATATATAATACTTGAAATCACCATTTTAGTCATGTGCTTCCAAATGCAATAATGCCAATTCAGCTATTCRAAGTTTATCAACATTTGTAATTCAAGTTCTTAACGATCATATCCCGGAGATAGTTATWTGTATATCCAATGAGCATTCAACTATTGGAGTCGAAATTGGATGTTTCACAGTTCAAAGAATTTTACATTGCTGACAAAGACTTGGTAAGCTAAGTGRGTTGGGGATAATTTATTTAAACTAGTTATGCTTATGTTTTTAGAGTAAAAATGGTACTTTCGAAGTTTGGTTATCAGTGGATTCACTAGGTTATCAAACGACAAGTTTCTCAATATTAGTTGTACGTACCTTTTGGACTATGAGAACGAAGAGTGGCGTAGTTTTAATTTAGAGGTAAGTAACCTATAATTTAGGTTATTAACATGGCAAATGTAACTGTAATCCATTCATGGATTCGTGAATACTGAATGTCGATTTCTTAAACAACAATTTGCAATATATTGTTTTGCCAACACCTGACAATATTTCACAACTTAGCGCTTACTTGTTAACCTTACTTGTTTAAAACAACGTTTTGTCAACACAAAACCTTCTGTTAACCATCGTGAACCTAATCACCTCTGCTGTATTACATTGTCACCCAAGGTCTAGGAAATGACTCGTRTAGTAACTCTACTGTATGGCAAATTGAACTTGGTAACTGCAACGATGAATGGCCAACGTTTGAGAAAGAAATTTACGATGAAATTTTCGAAAACAGCAGCAGTGGTACATATATAACAACGATGATGACGTTGTTATGTAAGTATGTAGTAAGTGATATTAAATACAAAATAACTGTAACTAAGTCACACATAATGTTGTTTTTTATAACATTGACACTCTATTGTCGGCAATTTGACTGGTTTTGAAATTAATGCAACTACGGGCGAAATTACTTTTAGAGGAGATAACGTTTTGGACTACGACTGCCAAAGAACTGTGGTGCTACAGCAAAAGCAGTAGATTCATTAGTCACATCGTATGCAAATAGACTACATAGCTCTTTTACGCAATTWAACATTAATGTTTTGGATATTATCGACGAGACTACAGTTTTGAGTCTGGAAATTATCTGGATAGCAATAACCTGTATAAATCAATTATTTACTTAAATTTTTATTTACATTTCGGCGAGTTTTAAAAGAGTTCTTTTTAATTTGTTAGCAACAATCATCAATTTTTGTAGTCGAAAATGCTGAAAGTCTCACTTTGCTTACGAACCAAATTGTAGTCTACGATCCTGAGACGACTGCTAAATTGAACTTTAAAATCAATTGGGACAAGTCCAGTGCCACCAAAAGTGGTTAGCTAGTTRCCAAAGAACTATTTATGAGGTCTGTATTAAGTAATATATTAACATATAAGTATCATACATGTATTTCTCTGTTTTAATAGATGTTTCAAAATTGACTCTAAAATTATCGGTGAAAACCACACAGTCCAAGGTTATTTACGTGTTAATCCAGATTTTTATCGATTAATAGATTATGAMGTATATGACACAATCGTTTTGGTGATTGAAGTTATAGATTTCCATCAAGAAATTAATGATGCTTCCGCAGCAGGTTTGATTAAAGTTAATAATGCATAAACGTTATAAAATATAAAATTGGGTATCATTACAAAGTCTTCTGAGTCCAAAATAGTGTGCAATAACTCTTTCAAASAAATATTAAATTCGATAAAAATCTCGTTTGGGTAGACTCTAATTAATAATGTTCTAAAAAATGTCTCCAGTTAGTAAGTGCAATCATTATATAAATATTGATTATCTCGATTGTTTAACATTTCTTATGCTTTATTGTTGGCGCACATTGAGGACGTCAATGACAATCCCCCTCAATTTCAATCGGGCTCTCTGGAAGTGTTTAAAAGTATACCAGAAAGAGAAGCTATCCATACTCTTTTAGGTAATTAAAGGGAGATTMTTGTAAATAATAGACATATTAGCTTTATAAGTCATGGTAATTTAAATTCACAGGTACTATTTGCGCTTTTGACATAAATGGCCCTGGCAATAATAATGTTACTTTTACTATGCGGTGAGCGATTATTTCAAATACTGAAGTAATTCYACTCAAATGTAATAAATTAAAATTTAATTGCAGCTCAATTGACAACTTGATTGCAGATGGAATGATTAGTATAAATAATTTGAGTGGCGTATTAAGCGTCAGCTATAACATACAGTACTATATACCGAAAATTTATACCTTGAATTATAATATCATTTTAAAGGACGGACAGCATATGACATCCGGAAAGGTATGGAAATGTATAATTTAAAGGTTTGTGTAATCGCATGACAAAACGTTGAAAATGTTTACATACATATGTATATGTATATTCCATTCCAGATTAGTCGGTTCTAAAATAAAAGTAAATTTGAGCACTTTGGTTGTTTTCTGGTACGAATAGGAGTCCTAACCGTTACTCAAGTTCATAAAACAAAAATATTAAAACAATGTTCTACATAACCGATCGAAATGGCTTACATATGTATGTGTATGGGAATAAAATATCGTGAATGGAGGATCTAAAGAAATCAATAAAAAAAWTTTATTTAAACAAATTGGATGGAATTTTATCTGTGAAGTTGCAAAATAAATCGGTTTTAGACAGATACAATGGAACATTWTATGTAATTGAAATTGAGATTAAAGACCACAATTCTGGATGTAAGTATGAAATTTATAGCAAAACTATTTTTGAATATAGAAGTTATAACTAATAAATAATAATAATAACTATACAGGAACTTTAGCAATTAGCTCTATTGCGCTAAATGGAATGTTAATTAAGAAAGAAATATTACTTGGACGAGGTAATGCAATTTTACTACTTTCTAATTAAAACAATACAATATATGTATATATTACTAGAGGACCCGTCCACGCTTCACGCTTCCTACTACTATCATCTAAATTGTTTCGATTAGTTGTTTTAGAACTATTAGTTATTGAGAWATAGCATTTTTGTGAAGCAACTTGTGTTAGTTTATAAAAAATGGATCATAAGGCATTACTTTTTTGAGGAAAATACTGTTGAATTTGAAAAGATAATTGCTAAGCTGGAAACAGGCGAAGTAAGCACTGAGGACAATGATGCTCTAAGGAGGCGAAACTTCTGCGCAAAGTGGGTGAGAAGTGTTTGAGTGCTCTTTAATCGTAATAAAACCGAATTTTTGCGTCGGTGTGTGACAATAGAAACATAGCTCCATCATTTCTTACTATAGTCCAATCGACAGTCATTCTACTGGACTGCACACAGTGTTTAAATTGCCTCAGTCGAAGTAGCTTTTTACTGCTTCGACTTCTTTTAACTGTTTCAAATTTGCTTTTGCTTATGCTTTAGAAAAAGCAGCAGTCGCAAGCAAAGCAAAAGCAGAAAACAATTATTAGAAAAATGCGCAGCACTTTTGGCAGTCGTTGGTTTGCAGTTTTTCACATTGCTTTGCTTGTGTTTGATCAG